AGGCCATTTTCTATTCAGATAGGGTTGTTACATAGTGGAAGATTTCTGTGTTGTTGTTGTTTGAGACTGGGTCTCACTATATAGCTTTGACTGCCTTAGAGCTTGCTTGTAGATCAAACTGTCCTTGAACTCAGAGAAATCTGCCTGCCTGGCCTCCAAGGACTGGGATTAAAGGAGTATGCCACCATGCCAGTCTTTGTAGTAGATCTCTACTACCTATATAGAAGATTTCTATAGGTATGATTCCTGTTGTTGATAATGTTAATTTACAAGAGCCCCAAGATACTAACAGATTGTATGTTAGCTGAGGTAGATAGAATTGTAGCTAGTGAAAACATGTGTCAATACAAGTGAATATAAACTGGAGTGAATGAGTAGAGTCACTTTTAATGGCTACCATGTTGGTTTTGGCTCTTTCCCATCCATTTAAAAAACAAAGCAAAATCACTTTAGGTAAATGCATAGTTTCCATAGCCAATTCTTGTCGTTAGTGTCCCTAGATATAACCCATTAGTCTAGTCATTCTCGTGGGCATTTTTTTAAAGTTTTATTTATTCATTTATTCATTTATTTATTATGTATACAACATTCCTTCCATGTATGCTTGCATGCCAGAAGAGGGCGCCAGATCTCATTATAGATGGCTGTGAACCACCATGTGGTTGCTGGGAATTGAACTCAGGACCTCTGGAAGAGCAGTCAGTGCTCTTAACCTCTGAGCCATCTCTCCATCCCCCTCGTGGGCATTTTTTAAATTTATTTTATGTGCAGTGATGTTTTGCCTACATGTTTGTCTGTGTTGAGGTGTCAGATACCCTGGAACTGGGTTACAGACAGTTGTGAGCTGCCATATATATGCTGGGAATTGAATCCAGGTCCTCTGGGAGAGCAGTCAATGTTCTTAACTACTGAGACATCTCTCCAGCCTTGCTTTTCTTTCTTTCTCCTTCCTTCCTTCCTTCCTTCCTTCCTTCCTTCCTTCCTTCCTTTCTTTCTTTCTTTTGGGGGTGGGGTGCATATTGCTTTGTGCTATATGATGATGCAGTAACACAGATCTGACCTCAAAGGAAATAGAGGTATTTTATTTTAGAGCCCAGTATGAATGAATGACTATGGCCTGGGAATGCAGATTAAGGTTACCCCAAATACATTCTCTGGTAACATTCTTATGACATTTTTATATCATCAAAACAAAAGACAGTCATAAGTTAAGGCACCTTAAAGACACACCAGTGATAGTCAGTTGTAGTGATACATGCTTTAATCTGAGCGCTTGTCCATCAGAGACAGGAAGATCACTAGTTGAGACCAGCCTGATATACTTGGACAGTTCTAAGCCAGCTAGTGCTACGTGGTTGAGACCCTGTCTCAAATAAATAAATGAACTGGTTGAAATGCTAGGTAGATAAATTACAGCAGAGCCAGAAGTTCTCTGCTACATACTTTAGATGTTACCTGATGACATTCTTAGCCTTTGGGGATAGTGGAAGCCAAAGGCTTTTTGCACAACCCCAAAAGATTTCTCTTAAGATTTATTTGTGTGTGTATGTGTGTATGTATGTGTTTGTGTGTGTGTATGTGAGAGAGAGACAGAGAGACAGACACCTAATGCGTTCAATTAGGATTATTTACAGGATATGGGTACCTTAGTTTACCAATGGTTCCATTGCTGAAGAAAATGTTACTCCTCTATCAACTACACATAAATCCTTAGGGAGGGGGTGATCTGAAACTTTTAAGGTACTTTTTTGCCAGGCAGCACCTAGTTATTTTCTCAGCGCACTTCCTCAGCATCATTCTTTCCTTCCTCCCTGTCTACTTGGCAAGTACTTCACCGACTCAGATTCTTTCAACACCAGGAAGAACCAAGTTGTTATCATCGTAGTTGGCTCTTTTATGATTTTTTTTATTTTATATGTGTATTTTTCCTGCATGTATATATGTGTATCACATGCATGTCTGGTATCCACAGCGGTCAGAAAAAGCTATATCAGATCCCTTGGAATTGGAGTTGCAGATGGGTCCTGGGAACTGGACCTAGGTCCTCTGCAAGAACAGCCAGTGCTTAACTTCAAGTTATCTGTCCAAACTCCTCCCCCCCTTTTTTTTATTTGATTGCCCATTGTTGACCACCCTAAGCTTGTTTTTGTAAAATGTGAAGAAGAAAGTGGTCCTCTAGGGCAGCAGTTCTCAACCTCTGTGTTACAACCCCTTTGGAAATTAAACAACCATTGCACTGGGGTCACCTAGTACCATCAGAAAACACAGATATTTACCTTACAATTCATAACAGTAGCAAAATTGCAATTATGAAGTAGCAACAAAGCTAATCTTATGACTGGAATTACCCCAACATGAGGACCTGTATTATAAGGGATGCAGCATTAGGGAGACTGAGAGCCACTGCTCTGGGACATTAATACCATTTCAGTAACTGACAAGCATAATGACCTATAAATTGAACAATATTTTTTGCCAGGCTTTACAAGACCAGGGAAGAAGCTAAAATCTTCTTGTCTCTTGCCAATTTGAAGCATAGACTCAGGAACTTGGATGACTTTCAGTTATTTCAGACAGGAATTTGATAAAAGATTACTTGAAGTTTATCGAGGATGTTTTTTGTGATGGGTGTCAGAATAGAAGCATTTTGAGACATTTAGTTCCAGTATACAGTTAAAGTAATAGTACTTGAAAACCACTTTGAAAGGTCTAAGGTGAAAGAATGTTCCCCTGAAAAGCAAGATAATAAACTAGCTCCTTTGTGGAATTATATTTGGCTCCCTGAGAACCATAGATGCTACCCATACTAAAATAAAAACAACTGACCACAGACTGGTGAAATGTCTCCTTGGGTAAAGGCACTTGTCACCCAAGCCTGGGTGTCTTGAAATCGATCCTTGGAATCCACATAAAGTTGGAAGGAGAGAACCACAAAATTTGTTCTTAGACGTCATGGCATGTGTACCCACATGTATGTCATACACTCACACATACACTGCCATTTGTCACACACAGCATGTGTCCCTACTCATATATTACATACACACATACACTAGCAATAACAGTAACAATAGTAGTATTAAAAGACGATTGTATACAGAGAAAGTTCCAGAACAGCCAGGACTGTTACACAGAAAAAATCCTGATTTGAAAAACAAAAATGGGAAAGAAAAAAAAAAAGACTTGGATTGGTTAAGATGTGAAGGGACTTGTCACTGATGATGGGAATGACATTTTTAAATATAAGCATTTTTACCACTATAGAATAACAATTGGATAAATACATCCACAATATTGCCTGCATTTAGAAAATAAGAGACTTAGAATACACACACTCGCTATGTCTTTTTCTAGGGTGAAAACAAAAGTCATATGCTTGAGGATAGTGGGCCAGCCCAACCTCATGATAATGCTGTTTTGAATCTTGTGTGCATGTTCTGTCACAAATGACAGTTGTCTAGTACCCACAAGTGATGCCTTGACATTGATTCCAGAAGATCTGGGAAGAAATAAGCTTTGGACGGCCTGTTTTCACTTCATTCCCAGTCAGAGCTGAATGGGGCAGTTATACTCACTGTTTATTGAGCACTTTTGTTATTTGGGTTCGTCTTGAGAGATGGATGGTGTGGTGCTTCGTGTGAGATAGCCCCATAAGTCTGTGGTACTTGAATTGGTTTGAATACCCTAATTTGGCTAATTAGGGAGGATTAGGATGTGCAATCTTGCTGGAAGAAGTATGCCACTTGGGGACTGGGCTTTGAGGTTTCAGAAGACTTCATCCATTTAGTTCTCTGTACTGCTTGTGGCTTGAGAGTTGGCTCCTGCTCTAGGTGTCTGCTGCTTGCTACCTCTGCTCTGTCATCTAAAACATGTTGTTTTTATTCTTCAGATAAGTAGAAGGTCGAATTAAAACTTCTCTCTTAATATTGATGAGTCCAAACTTCATAGTGAAGCTCTTTTATTTTTTGTCCTTGTGGATAAAGGATGTACTTCTCTCTGGTCCCTCATTACTTTTTCTTCCTCTATCTTTTTCTCCTCCCTCCCTCCCTCCCTTCCTCCCTTCCTTCTTTTTTTGAGACCATATCCCAGGCTGTCCTGGAGCTCTCAAGTGTGCTGTGTCACATCAGGATTTTATTTTATTTTATTTTTTGATGTTAGGTATTTGTTTATTGTGTTGGGAATTTTTGCTGAGCACTTTTGATCTGCTGTCTGACTATTGAACCCGGGGAGCACTGTTGTGAAATAGTTGGTATTTCACCCAAGATGCCAGTGAGAAGAAAGAACCCTCCAGGTGAGCTTCTCATGGTTAACAACCATCTGAAGGGAGTTTCAGACCAGGGTTTTCTTGCCGGGTTTGTTTCCTCAGATAGTGGACTTTGAAATCATTTTGCTTCCATCCTAAATACTTGAAATTTGGGGCTGTATAGAAAATTTGTACATGTTAGAAATTCTCAGAAGAGAACTTCTCAGATGAGACGTGCTTGTGTTTATAGTCTGCGGTGGTTACATATAATTCTGTGTTTTAGCACAATGCCACTAGAAAAGGTGGGATTCTAATAAACACACTCTAGCCAGTAAAGGAATATGATTTTGACTTCTTAAATTGTACTACAGGTGTATCCAGTCATTAACTGCAGCTGTACCTGGGATCCCCATGACAAAATCTCAGGTGATAGTACTGCTCCTTAAGCAGAGAGAGAACAGTTTTGCTGCTACTTTAGCAGCAGGAGCTCTGGAGTTCAGTCATCCTGTAATTCTAATAAGAACTGGGTGGCCAGGCCTCCCAAACCGTCAGTTATTTGTACATTATGGTCTGTGTTTCTGAAATGGTCTCAGCGGTTGATCCTGCCTTGGGTGACTATGGGAGAGAAGGCAAGACTAAGAGTTCTTGTCTGGAAAAAAAAATTAAGAGATCATGAGCATTCCTTTTCTTTCTTTTTTTTCTTTTCTCTTTGTCTTTTTTGTTTTTTATTTTTATTTTTTATTTTTTGTCATCCTAGTATTAAGCATGCTCCAAAATCCACTGGGAAATGTCCTAGGAAAAGCCCCCTTGAGCTTCCTGTCTTTGGATCCCCTTGGGTCTGACTTGGACAAGTTCCCAGCACCCTCAGTTAGAGGATCTCGCCTGGACACCCGGCCCATCCTGGACTCCCGTTCTAGCAGCCCCTCTGACTCAGACACGAGTGGCTTCAGCTCTGGATCAGATCATCTCTCAGATTTGATTGTATGTAACATGCTCAGGAATGGGGGTTGTGGAGGTGGAGTTGTTGTGTGTGTCCTAGGGGAAAAGATGCTGCAGTGTCTGTCTAGAGCTTGAAACGGTACCTGTCCACCAGGATGCATGCAAGCAAGGAGATATCAGGCACCCTCTTTATAGCCATTCATCCTTAGCACAGTCAAGGCACTTTGAATGTCCGTGAACAATACATTTTAGGGCTTGTTACTCCAAGAGCTATTAGAGAAAAGTTGTAAACAAGAACATCTTGGTAGTGTTCTGTTTCCTGAAATACATGGATGTTTCCTTTTTAGCCTTTAAACGATATTCCTTATATACCTCTGTGTATAATATCCCAAATTTTATAAATGGTATTTTAATAAATGATCTTAATTCACAATTAATAGTGAACACTGGAATTTTAAACAGGATTTGACTTGAGCTCCTGTACTTGTCACTGATCCATGCCAACTCAGTCTGAAACTATCATCAAATTTATATCTCCCATGTTCCTTACCTACAGTCATGTGTGATATGTGTAGTCTCCATGCTAATTAGTTAGGACATGGATTAGAGTGGGTGGGAAGGATGGTATAAATGGCATATATAAACTAGCATAGACAGTAATAGAGGGTAGAAGTAATTACATATGAGTCTTCAAGGAGGAAGAGGCAATGAGACAATTTTCTGAAATAAGATTCAACTTTTAAGGTGCCATCTCAACCTTGCTTTTTTGTCACCAAATGCTCTAAGCTAAATGTTTAGTAACTAGGAAAGCTCATTTATCATCTTCTTATCTCTGTGGTTTCCCATTCATGACTTTTAGAACCCACCCTGTCTTCTTTTTTGCACTGTCCTGGACTACGAACACTGGCATTAGTATTCCCGTTGCCTATTCATTTAATTTGTCCAGACTAGTTTCTAGAAAGACAGCTTCAGTCAGCTCCTTTACTTCCCTGTAAGATCGGTTCACATGAGATGCTTGTTCTGTTTCATTACTTAGATAGTACTCATCTTGGGAATTTACCTCATGACTGACAAATACAATTTTTTTTTCAGATACCCACCTAAGAATTAATTTGGAAAGAGAAAGCTAACACAAAAGAGGAAATTAAACAGTTTTTGTATTTACAGAAAATAGTCTGTCAACAAATTTTAATAATATATTCTTTGACACTTAGAATTTCATGATTTAGTATAAATATATAGTGTAACATGTTCAAATACATTTCTAATAGAGCATAGAGCCATCAAAGAAAAAGTTGTTTAACCATAGGGAACTGAATCAGTAGGCTGTTGTTGGTCTCCTGAATAAAATGTGATAAATTCATTAAAATTGTTATGAGAACTCTCTGGCAAGAAAACAAAGTATGTGGAAAGATGGAATTTATTTTAGTTATATTATAGTCTATAACTAATCTTAAAAATGGATAGGAAGACATAATAGAAAATATATCAAGTTATAAATGTTAAATACTTCTAAGATTTTGTTATATGATTATTACTTTATAACAAAACTGTCTTTTAAAAACTTGTGTCTTCCTTTTTCCTCCTAGTCAAGCCTTCGCATTTCCCCTCCTCTGCCCTTCCTTTCTATGACGGGAAATGGTCCCAGAGACCCTCTAAAGATGGGAGTTGGGTCCCGGATGGACCAGGAACAAGCTGCTCTTGCTGCAGTGACTCCCTCTCCAACCAGTGCTTCAAAAAGATGGCCAGGAGCTTCTGTGTGGCCATCGTGGGACCTTCTCGAAGCTCCTAAAGACCCTTTCAGCATAGAGAGAGAAGCTAGACTACACCGGCAGGCTGCAGGTGAGTGCAGCTTGATTCTGGGTAGGCTGAGGCCTGAGGCCTCGTTCTAGAGACAATTGACCTTTGCTTAAACAATAGTGAACTCTTCTGGAGGAGGGTTTGTTAATGTGGTAAGGTTTTCAGGTCTGTATAAAACCGCAAACTTTGTGGAATAAAGGACAACCTTGAGACTGAGTTGAAAGAGGCATATAGCCTGGCACACAGAAAATGGCTGGCTCCACCTCTTACTGTGAGCTTCTGTGAAAATTGGCTGTGCTCTACCCTTGCTTTCGATTGTTGCGTGAGAAAGACAAAGTCTTGAAAATGATGCCTACAGTTTTGTCTGCCTTTTTTGTTTATAAGTCAGAGTCACAGCAGTCACGACTCATTTGCTGGCTTTCTGCCCTGATATCTTTCTGATTACATTCAGGCTATTAGCCTCTAAGGTATGGGATGTTACCAGATGCTCTGATATCTGATTCCAATCTCTTTGAAATTCTTTAGTTTTTATCATTTAAATGATAACTGAAGGCTGGAGAGAAGGCTCGGTGCTTAAAGAGTCCTGGCTTCTCTTCAGAGGACCTGGGTTCAGTTCCCACCACCTACAGGGCACCTAACTTGTTTGTAGCTCCAGTTCCAGGGGTCCAAAACCCTCTTCTAACCTCTGCAGGCCTCAGGTGTGCTCACAGCACACAGACATGCATGCAGGCAAGACACCTATGTACATAATACAAAAATAAATTAAATTTAAGGTTTTTGTTTTGTTTTGTTTTGTTTTGTTTTTTGAGACAGGTTTTCTCTGTGTAGCTCTGGCTATCCTGAAACTCACTCTGTAGGCCAGGCTGCCCTTGAATTCATGATCCTTCTGCCTCTGCCACCTCCATCAAATCTTACCAGCAGGCGCCACCACAACTGGCAAATTAAATTGTTTTTTATTGGTTTGTTTGGTTTTGGTTTTCCAAGACAGGGTTTCTCTGTGTAGCTCTGGCTGTCCTGGACTTGCTTTGTAGACCACGCTGGCATCAAACTCAGCAATCCACCTGTCTCTGCCTCCTGAGTGCTAGGAATAAAGGCATGTGCCACCACTGCCTGGTGAGGTGCATAATGTTAAGTGTACATTAAATTTGTTTTTCTCATTACCTCTGAGCTTGGAAGTAAATGAGCTACTTACATCATTAACTGCTAGTGTTTCAGGGTTTTCCACTTATATCATGGTTCTGAGGTACCTGACTGACTGAACGTTATTTCTCTGTTAGATGTGTTTGCATAGAACTTGTCCCTATCTCATTCTTCCCTAATGGTGTTTGTCTGTCTGGTGGTTCTGATAGCTCATGTTCATGCTTACTACATAGCCATTGTATGGTGTGCTTTCTGTAAGCTCCTCGGTTTTGTATGGAATATTGCTAGCATTGCCCCGTTCCTTTTTGTTTGTTTGTTTTGTTTTTTTGTTTTTTCGAGACAGGGTTTCTCTGTGTTACTTTGGAGCCTGTCCTGGAACTAGCTCTTGTAGACCAGGCTGGTCTCGAACTTACAGAGATCCACTTGCTTCTGCCTCCCAAGGTGCTGTGACTAAAGGCGTTCATCGCCACCACCCGGCCACAGTCCCCCATTTTTTGTCACAGTAACACATTAGTCTTGTACATATTGGGTAATGGCCTGGTATCCAGGAGGGAATAATGGCTCATCTCCTTGAATGTGTTCCTCGGTGCTGAAGGAGAAGGGTAATATGTCCTCACCTAGATCACCTTCCTATGTGAAAGGCCTGAACTAATTGCCAAGAGCAGACTTCTGGAAGTTGTAGGACAGGCCAGTCTTAAGAGAGTTCCAAACCTACACAGCAGAAAGGGCCTCTTGGCATAAGTAGGAAGCTGAGGGTTTGGACAGAAATCCATCATCATACAGTGTGAGCAGCAGGGCAGCTCAATGCCCACTCAGGTGCTTGTGAGTGGGATTATGGGGCATGGTAATGTTCTTACTCTGTTGAGTTGTGTTTTCTACTGACAGTGTCCTGACTTCTGTGGTCCAGAGACAAGATAGGGAAATGTAGAGTTTTTACCTCGGAGAGACAGTCTACTGGGGCCAGAAACTTAAAGAGCATTGCATATAAAGTTGTTCTGTCTACTCTTTTTTTATTAATATATTTTTAAACTTATAATATTGTAAATATATTTATAAACCATTTATAAATCTACTTAGTACTATAAACAATAGCAATATAAAACTGCTTTGTTGCAGTTTATCAGTTATATAGTTGAAATTGCTTACGTTGTGATCATTTTTACCCTGCACATCTGCTATTCCTTTCAGTTTTATTATAAGCATAGCTGCTGAGGTAGGATTATCAAACTTACTTTAAATAGTTGACAAAGTTTTCTGTCTTTCAGAATAACCATGGATAGTCTTCTCCCAGACAGCCAGGTTGGAATGGTGACTGCTCTATTTCTCGTCAATAAGTCCATTTCAGAGAAGGGTAGTGACTTGTTGATTGAACCCTTGTTTTCTTTTTGCTTCCTGCCAAAGCTGTGAATGAAGCTACCTGTACCTGGAGTGGCCAGCTTCCTCCCCGAAACTATAAGAACCCCATCTACTCCTGCAAGGTGTTCCTTGGAGGTGTTCCTTGGGATATTACGGAAGGTGAGCTGCCTCTGAGATCTCTTACAAGAGTTGGAGGTGGGGCATATCTTTAAGTAGGCTCCTGCTTAGGGCCTGAACCTCTGCCTCTGCAGAGTGTTACAGGAGCAGCTGAGGGGGAGGGTGTATTTCATAAGCTTTCAAAGTGATTCTGTTCGTCTGCTTACCCATGAGACCAGAAGTCAATTCTGAGCTGTTGGTCAGGAGCAGTGAACCTTGGGAGGAGTGCTGGGGGATCCTGTGTGTGTATCTTTCCTGAGTAGACTGTTTCTTGGTTTTTGCTCTTCCCCACTGTGCAGCTGGATTGGTTAACACCTTCCGTGTTTTTGGCTCTCTGAGTGTGGAGTGGCCTGGTAAGGATGGCAAGCACCCCCGGTGTCCTCCCAAAGGTAATATGCCTAAAGGTAATACAGACATGGTAGGAATTTTTTTTTTTGCCCTCCCTCACACACACTGTACCACGTGGTGTTGGGATGTCACAGAAGCATGCTGGTAATGCAGGCACTCCAGGGTGCAGTCAGCACATCCTCTTCAATTTTGCACATTCCTTTGTCCATCTGTCCAAACTTGTAGTGCTGTAGGGAGCTGCCACCAGAACCCTTCCTGTGCACTTCCCTCCAAAGCTAAACCCCACCTTTCCTCTTGAATAAGGCATTTCAAGAGTGTGCCTTTGATTAATAAAATTACTTTCTAAAAAAAAAAAAAAATGTGCCTTTGCTGCCTCAGAGGCTTGTCATCTGACCCAGTTCTGAGATTCCCTTTGGAGTTGTCAGGAATGAGGACCAACTATCTGATTCCTCACTGGTCTAAAATGAGATCCTGCCCTGTAGAAAGGAGCAGGTGCTATTTTCTCTCTGCTCCATCTTCATTGAACTTGAACCAATGGTTTAATTAGGCTTTTAAAGCAATAACTTCATCCCCTGACAAACTACTATTCTTCTTGGCTTTGCTGAACCGAGCATTCTCTGTGTTCTGGGGTAGAAAGCTGTGTAGTAATAGGTGGGGTCTACTGTTTGGGCCTGACAGTTCCTTCCCTTAGTGAAATAGGATGTGCTTCTCTCTCCCTTAGCCTGGGCATAAGACAGAGTAAGTACTTCATTTGACAAACGTTTTCAGGATTTGAACAAAAATGTACTTTGGGATGAAGGATTGGTTCAGCAGTAGAGTACTTGCTTAGCATGCACAGACTATAGGTTCAATCCCCAGCATCTACCTCCCTCCAAAAAATGTCCTGTACTTGAGGCTTCCTCCCTTAGAAGAAACTCCCTGCTCCAAAGCCACGGCTCTTCGGCCACCATAGAGGACGATAAATAGCCACCCAAGGAATATTAAAGTGTCTTTTCCTTTTGTTGGGTAGGGTATGTGTATTTGGTGTTTGAACTAGAGAAGTCTGTCCGGGCCTTGCTTCAGGCTTGTTCTCATGACCCGATGAGCCCAGATGGCCTGAGTGAGTATTATTTCAAGATGTCCAGCCGAAGGATGCGCTGCAAAGAGGTGAGTTAGCTTAGTGTCCTATGTTAGTTACTTTCTTTTGCTGTAGTAGTTCTGTTTCTGTTGCTGTGATAAAGCACTATGATCAAGGTAGCTTATAAAAAGAAAACAATCTCAGTTGGGTTTACAGTTTCAGAGGGTTAGAGTTTATGATGGTAGAGTGAAGGCCTGACAGCAGGAACAGTGGAGAGATCACATCTCTAAACCTCAGGCATGGGGCAGAGAGTGCATTTGGAATAAACAGCATGAGTATTTTTAAACCTCAAAGCCTGCCCCTAGTGACACACCACCTCCAACAAGACCACAGCTCCTAATCCTTCCCAAATAGGCCCACCAAGGACCAAGCATTCAAATGTGTTGCCTATGAAGGCTATTCTCATGTAAACTAACAACAGTCATTGTGATTAAAATACTACAATCAGACAATTTACAAAAGAATAATTTGGGTTAATGAGTCCTGAAGGAGAAGAGTTTATCACAGTGGCGCACCCCTTTAATCCCAGCACTTGGGAAATAGAGGCAAGTTGATCTCTGTGAGTTCAAGACCAACCCAGTCTACAAAGTGAGTTCTAGGACAGCCAGGGATACACAGAAACCCTGCCTCAGGAAGAAAAAAAACAACTTTATTATGGCAGGAACAAAATGCTAAGAGTTCATATCCTACACCATAAGCACAAAGCAGTGAGAACAAGTTAGAAGTGGCAAGAAGATTTTAATCTCAGAGCCCACTCCCAATGACCCAATTTCTATAGCAAGGCTATACCATCAAAAACTTTTCAAACGGCACCACCAGCTGGGGACCAAGTTCAAATGCCCAAGACTTTGGGGGGTATATCTCATTCAAACCACCGCGTAGCCTTCCTGTGTCAGGATAATTGGCATGTTATGGCACTGGTTTTCTTGGAACCAGGGTGACCGTTATTCTTGCTGTGACAAGAAGTCTGCTTTTCTTGTCCATGGTAAATACATCACTATCTTATAAATTACATTCTTTTAAAAAGCCAACTGTTGGGTCTTGTTAATAGGGAGGTAAAGGGGTGGTGTGTAAAATGTGCACAAACAATCTTAGAACCAGTGAGGATCAAGCTTTTCCAGCCTCTGTACTCTACATTTAAATTCTAAACTTCAACGTAGAGATAAACCCGGAAGCAGCAACTTTCTCTACTTGGATGAAACTGATAAAATCTACAGATACATTCTCCTGGTTCTCATACTGTGCCTCTGACCCTATAATATGTAGTGGGTGAGTAAATTCTTCTTTAGCGCAAGTCCAGCCATGGCTACACTTCCTTTCCCTCTCGGGGCTTAATATGTTGGTTTTTTTTATACATTCTTAGCACAAGTCTGTGTCCTGAACATCATACTGATTTCACGTTGGGGAACTCATTGCAGATTCTTATCTTAGGTTTACTGACTCATTTGGGTGGAGTTTAGGAATCTCTAATTCATTTGGGGAGTAATCAGACTCCCCAATTGGTGCTAGTGGATAGAGTTGTGAGAACCACTTGTTTTGAGTTCGGGATTGATGTGGTGCTGTTTTTATTAGGCTGATTCCAAAGAACTTGACTTTTGTGGCATTAAACTACTGTGAAATTTATTGCTCCCCAGGAAGCTGAAACTATCTCTAGTTAAAAAGATCAGTGCTTTCTACGGGAGCAGACATGACTGGGCAGAGCACAGAGGATTTTGGGGGCTGTGAGATGATATGCAGCTACCATTGTAGTGTGTAAAAAGTCGTCACCCATTTCCTCCAGACCAGTAATTCACAGTGAACATGAAGAAAACCCAGTGTAAGCTGTGGTCTTGGGGCAGCGGTGATTGTCAGTGCAGGGTCATCAGCTAGAACAGATGGACCTTCTGGTGCAGAATGCTGCTAGTTGAGGCTTGTGTGGGACAGTGTGTGTCCCACACCTTTCGTGAGGTTTGCTGTGAACCTAAATCAACTGTTAGAAAGGAAAGTCTATTTTTTAATCTGTATCTTAAAGGGTAAAGAGCCCCTTAGGATGGTCACAGCACTCTTAAATAATCCATTGACTAATCTGGTTCTTTGCTTTATAGAAGTTCTTCTGTGTTTTTGTTGTTCAGTCTGACAGTTGTTCATTCTCTGGCTCCCACGGTGACCCAGGTTCCCTTCCTTCTCTCCTCATTAGATTGGTCCTCAGACAGCAAGCTGGAGCTCGTCGTATCTAAGATTAATTCATGTACGCTTTCCTCCTTTATCCCTTGCTTTCACACTGGAGACTGTCACAGCTACAGGACAGGCAGTCTGCCTCATGCCCCTGATAATACCCATTTCTTACCGCCTAGCAGAGATTGTCTCCCTTTGATGCGCCAGCTCCAGGCTGTCCCAGTTCTCTCACTTCTGTGACTGTTTTCTTTGTACATCCCGACTGTTGTCCACTATTATCAGTATAGTATTTGACTCTCTCTCACTATCTCTTCTATTTCAGAAAATTTATACATTTCTGTTCTTTTTAGACACAGATTCATCTATCTAACCTCCTGTCCTATGTAGACCCTATATTCTTTGATATATCCTGTAACTCTATATTGCCCTGTGTGCAAATTAGCCTTTTTCATGAATTTATAGAGCTGTTGACTTTCCTGGCACCTTCTATCAGACTCTCCAAACCTCAAGCCTTGTAAGTCTAGGTCCTATCTGGTTCCCTCTTGCTTACCCACTTGAGAAGTTTGACCTCTACAGACTTCCATTGAACAATATCCTTATTTGTCCCCTGTGACCATTACCACCAGCCTTCTTTAGATCTTTGTCAAATTGTTTTTACCTCCTTGGGTCTGTCTCAGTTCTCTTCCTACTTCAAAACATTTTAAAAGATCTTCACAGACTAATTTTCCAAAAATAGTTACTGGCATTTGTAAGTCGGCTTCATTGTAATGCTCTCTGCCTGCTAGACTAGGTTTGATTCTGGGAGTCAAGGAATCAGAGGACAGAGAATGTTGCACTTTCCCCAGAGATACTGAGCTTTTTAATGCCTCAGATCTTTGTGCATGACTTTACATACACACATAGAGGGGCAGTGGGGGGGGAGAGAAGATGAGAGGAGAGAGTATGTTCCCGCTGTTGCTGGCACAAAGCCCTCTAAATACCTAGGTTTAGACCAGTAACCATCTCAATGATGTAAGTATTTCCACACTTTTATTCTTAATGCTTTTAGCTTTTAAATACTCTATTAGTTCTACCTTTCACAGGGCTCTTGTTCACTTTCTTGAGAACTCACTCATGCTCTTCATTCCTGTGGCCCTTAGTTGGAAGTATAGAATTGTGGGCCTGTCACTTTGCTCCTTTTGCTTACTCTGCAGAACGAGCAAGTTTTGTTGTATTTTCTCTCACCATTATGAACACAGGAAATGCAACTCAAGTTGTCTTGGATAAGGTTGCCTTCCTGGAAGCCTGTGTGCCTCAGATGGGTGACAGTGCCCTTTCACCCCACATGGCCTCAGCAACTGCAACTATGATACAGAGCACATGTCCTACCATACAGGACGCTCTCTGAAGCTGCCAGCTGATAAACCTTTGTGGGGATTTTCAGGTGCAGGTAATCCCTTGGGTCTTGGCTGACAGCAACTTTGTCTGGAGTCCATCACAGAGACTGGATCCCAGCAGGACGGTGTTTGTTGGTGCCTTGCACGGAATGCTCAATGCTGAGGCTCTGGCTGCCATCTTGAATGACCTATTTGGTGGAGTGGTGTATGCTGGGATTGACACAGATAAGCACAAGTACCCCATTGGTGAGTGTCCTACTTCTGTGTGGGAAGGCTTGGTGCCCCTGGGAGTAAATTAAGACTATAATACCTGCCCTTGAGAATGAAGAGAGAACTGACCCAGGTTTGCAGATCATCTTTTCCTCCAGAAGTTACCAGTACTGGCCTATCTTGCTTCTGCTCCTGGTTCCCACATGGGAAAAGAGTGAGTGTAGTAGGATCTATGATAATATTGGTAAAAATGAAGAAAGAAGTTTGTTGAAATTCTCAAAGTACACAACCAAACAGCTTAGGACAAAATATAGAAGTATTGCATTTAAAGACTACACCGAGAACTTGCCAGCCTCCTTTATTAAAAGTTCTTGCCAGTCATGGTGGCAGATACCTGTTGTCCCAGCCCTTGGGAGACAGAGGCAGTAAGATCTCAGTTCAAAGCCAGCCTGGTCTACAGAGTGAGTTCCAGGACAGTCAGGAACTCACACAGTGAGACCTTGTCAGGACAGAAGAGGGGAGAAAGGGAAGGAAGGAAAATTTGTTTTGCTTTTACATCTTTGATGTTGTCTAGAGTAAGAGGCAAGATCAGATCAAAGGTGCTTTCTGGATAACTCAAAAACTGGTACAACCATTACAACTATTGAGCTGTTCTACTTTCAGGTAGTCTGTGTCCTGACTACTGAGTGTTCATCCTTTCTGAGAAAGGAGGTTAGTTCCAGACTTCGTACAGTAATCTCAGTGATTGTGTCTGAAAGTGGAACAGACCTGAACTCTCTGATCAAGGCATATATACTTAACCCACCTTCTCAGATGCCTGGTCTATCCACCCACACTGAATTCTGTGATGCAGATGGAGAATTGGATTTCAGAGGCTGTAGGGGAGGGGCCACACTTGGCAGGATGGGGAATTCGTTTGCTCTTTCCTAGTTCTCTAAGGTACCTCTGGGTCAGGCTGGGTTTGATTGCTATTTCTATCCCTTAGAGAATTTAGTCTGCAGCATGGTTTCCACCTGAGCCCATTCTCCTTCTCTGTGAATCTACCTGCACAGGAGGAGCCCCTTCCCTTCCTCTTACTAACTTGTCTTATGTCATTACTGTCTAATGTGATAGCCACCACCAGAAGGTGGTGAGTACATGTGTTAAAATGTCTGGAACACAGTGCGGTGGTGGTGGCACATGCCTTTAGTCCCAGCATTCAGGAGGCAGAGGCCAGGTGGATCTGTGTGAGTTCAAAGCCAGCCTGGTCTACAGAACAAGTTCCAGGACAGCCAGGGCAACACAGAGGAAACCTGTTTTTCAAAAAATCATGAACATATAAAATATATTATTAAAATTCCACTACTTTTGATTTTGCTGTCACAACCACTAAATTAGAAATTCCATGAATACTTATATTTATGTCTGATAGCACTGGTATAGAAATAGGGTTTCTTGAGTGTTTAAGAGAATTTGAACAGAATGTGTAAGCTTGTGCCGGGTTTTCTTAGGGTCTGGTCGCGTGACTTTCAATAATCAACGTAGTTACCTGAAAGCAGTCAGCGCTGCTTTTGTGGAGATCAAAACCACCAAGTTTACCAAGAAGGTGAGTGTCTGGTTATGCCCTTACTGAGAGAGACTTGGGTCAGTTTCAAAAACAGCACAGTTCCAAGGGTGAGGCGATGAGCTCAACCACAGAGCTAACCTGCAGGGTTTGAGGGGGCCTTTGTCTCTGGGGACTCAGGAGAAAAGGACCCAGACTGTCAGCTGCCTGAGTGGGTGTGGGTGGGGAGAAGTTCCCTCGTTTTGGTATTTGTCTGAAGTTAAGTAGATTGACTGTCTTTATCACCTTTTACCTGAATCCTCTGAGTACTTCCCTGCTGCTCATTAATGGAGAGCCAGGGTTCATTTTGCTGAGAAGAGCAGGCAGTAAAGCCTTGTGGTTGTTAAATGTTAGAAGCAACCAGTTCTGTCTCTGTATGAGTCTATGCAGTAAGATCCATATTTGGCCCTGGCCCACAGTTCTGTCTAGGCTCCATTAGAACAGATGGCCATACTGCATCCTGTGTACCCAGTAACATGCTCCAGTTCACCTGACCCATAGAGCCATTTTATCTCCCTATGTTGCTGTTCCTCAGGTTCAAATTGACCCCTATCTAGAAGATTCTCTGTGTCTTATCTGCGGTTCACAGCCTGGCCCTTTCTTCTGTCGTGATCAGGTAAGCTCCCTGGGCACTAGAAATGTCTAATTTTACCACAGTTAAAAAATGTGTTAAGGCATATTTATGATGTTGAGTATTAGAGTTCTCATATGACTCGTAATGCCTGAGAGCATAGAGACAATAGTCAAGAAGGTATGCTATAGATAGGTTGATTCATAGTCTGGGAGTGTCCGGGTGCTTGTTGGATCTTCCCTTTCCCTTCCTGGGCTACTGCTGTACAAAATGGCCATTGGTGATGGTAGGTGCTTTTTGGTGTGTGGTTTTTTTGGTTTTTTGAAATTGTCTTACTGTGTAGTTCTGACTGGCTTGGGACTCATGTAATTAAGCTAGCCTTGAGCTTGCAACAAACCTCCTTCTTTCCCACTGCTCCTACCAGAGCCTTGGTATCATTGGCATGTGTTACTATACCCAGATAGTGGTTCTGTAGACATTGAGTAGTTGGGTACCTATGAATCAAGTGCTACTGATACATTTTTTTGAGTCTGACAAGCATGTCCATCTACAGTCTCTGGTACTATTTGCCTCAGGATAGCTATGAATGCTACCCAACCCAAAAATATAATTTTAGGAGGTTTCCACCCCCCACCTTGTGAAGTATTGGTTTGGTTTTGTATCTGGGTTTTGTGGTTCTCCAGCGTGAATCAACATTGTGTTGCAATGCCAGAAGGTTAGGCATACCTTGCTGGGACTGAGTTTTTCCCTACTTTATTTCTGAACTTATGAACTACTTTGGTGTTTGTATCTGGGTTCTATCCATAGTCCTCAGAGGGGGAAGCTAAATGGAAACTTTGTATTGGGAGTCTGTGGGTGGTGGAATATGGATGGATCTGGGTGTGTTTGGCAGTCAGTGCTTTCTGACTTTAATGTATATACACATCAACTTTGTTGAAATGAGAATTTGCCAAGTGGTGTTTGTGTTGCTGTTTTGAATGACGTTTTTTTAAAAACACATTAAAATGTTTTCATACATGCATACAGTATATTTCGATAACACTTAACCCTACTTCTCCTAATTCCTTTCCATCTTATTCCTTCTCAACCTTATCTTTTTGTTTTACTTTGATGCTGTTGCTGTTTGGTTTGGTTGGTTTTGTTTGTTTGTTTTTGAGACAGGGTTTCACCTTGTACCTCTGGTCAACCTGTAAACTGTGTAAACCATGCTGGCCTCAAACTCAAACATCGACCTGCCTTTGCTTTCCAAGTTGTAGAAGAATCAAAGGCCTGCACTACCATGTCCAGCCTTTTTTTTTTTTTCTTTTCTTTTTTTTTAAATAACTAACAAGCCTACTCCCACTGTGTTACTCATACACTCTTGGTAGTCCATCTACTACGGGACAAACCCTTAAAGAAAACTGACTTTCTTTCTTCCAGAAGCTGTAAGCTGTCAGCAGTTCTCGGCTAGGAGTAGTGGCTTGTGAGCCTTTTTCCTATTAATGCTGAAACGTTCATTGGGTTGATCTTGTGGCGGCACAACCATCAAACCATATTTTGAAACCTTTTCTGGGATGTTTGGGAACCTTCCAGACCCTAGCAATTCATCCATGTTTAGTTTGGCTTATTTATTGGATATTAATTACTGGATTATTATCATGTTGTTTGCATGAAGGTTGTAGATAGCTCTTCCACAGGCTCTCAAGGGAGCTCAGAGTAAGTCTGGGGAGTGAGGTAAAGCCTGACAACAAGTGTCTTTCTAAGTCACATTCACAGTGAACCCTGATTCATTCTTGGTAGGAAGTTAGGACCTGCTTAGGTTATTCAGCTAGCAAAACCAGTCACTTCTCACTGAGAAGAGAAAGGCATGTCTCCTTATACTTGAATTTGTATCCAGTCCTTCAAACATTCTCTCATGTTGGCAGCCATGATATTCAACTGCTCTGTAGGTGAGAAGGGTGGGAAATTGGGAAACTGCATGGTCTCTCTGCACACCAGGAGCCTAAACTGTTTGCATGAGGGTACACATGGAAAAGGATAACATTTACTTGAGTCAAATGGAGCTCTTACCATGAGAGGGCTAACAGGAAGTATCTCTTCTAGCCCCACAGAAACCAGGAGGCTTCCATCTCTTCTTGAAGTAGAACCTTTATATCTAGTGCTAACCTCTGTTTCCCTAACCTAGGTGTGCTTCAAGTATTTTTGCCGAAGCTGCTGGCACTGGCGACACAGCATGGAAGGCCTGCGCCACCACAGCCCCCTGATGAGGAACCAGAAGAACTGAGATTCCATCTAGAGAAGCTGACCTTGCCCAGTGGCCTGTATTGCCCAAGGCTGGCAAATCAGGCCTGTACCCTGCACTGGCGCCCAAGGAGCTAGCTTTCTGCAGACAAGGGAAAATTGTAGTCACCTTTGTACTTGCTAAATCTGTCTTTGTTTCTGCACTAATTAATGCACAATGAGTTTTGTCAGGTTTTGTTTTCAGGGGTGTGCCAGAGCAAGGACCCTCAGGCTCACCCTCAAGCAAATGTAGTTTTCCCAGATTCTAGTTCCTCATTTTGCAAATGAAAAGAAAAACAACAACAAACTGTGTGTCCAGAAGGTATTGACACAGAAGCCTACACCTAAGTTTATTTATTAAAGCGCTTTTTACATTCCTTGCAATACTGAAGGTGGTGATGCGCAGGTCTCATTGGTTCATTCTTGCAGTTGCCATACAGTGCCTTTCCATTTATTTAACCCCCACCTGAACGGCATAAATTGAGTGTTCAGCTGGTGTTTTTTACTGTAAACAAACAAGGAGACTTTGCTCTTCATTTAAACCAAATCATATTTCATAGTTTACGCTCGAGGGTTTTTACTGGTTCCTTTTTACACTCCTTAAAACAGTTTTTAAGTCATTTGGAACAATAGAATTTTTTTTTCTTTTCTGGCAGCTTTTAACATTATAGCAAATTTGTGTCTGGGGGACTGCTGGTCACAGTTGCAAATCAAAGCATTTGTAACCAAGGGAAAAATTATTTTATTTAAAACTGGACCGGAGAGAAAGAAAATTAGGTCTGAGCAGCTGCTGTATATAGTTTTAAATGGTTTGTCGCACCTTCTTACGTTGCACTTACGTGGGGGGAGGGTTGGTAGAAGTTTTTAATCACAGTCACAGGGTTTTTTCTTTTGTAACTGAGCTTAAAAATTTAAAAAAAAAAAGGGCTGCTTTTTGGTGGGGGCAGTTGAAGGCTCACAGGAGCCCTTTCTCTTAGAGGGGCAAGTACCCTTCCTTACATCTTTTATTTGAAGAATGTATGAATCAACAGAGTTGACACAAAAATGCTACTGGATTTTGAAAACTTGACTTTTTCTTTTTAACTACTACTTGCCCCTCTTAGGGAAGCTGTGTGCCAAAGAACCAGTGTCATCCCCTCCCTCCTGCTGAGCTGATGTTGCATTGTTCATATCCCAGCTACTCTGTGGGTTTTGTGAAGCTGTGTGTGAAGTCTCTACCTCATTGTTGTATATGCAGGCAAGACTGCACTCTCCTCAGATGTGTGGAGTAAGCTGTGGTGTACTTTTTTTGGCACATAATAAACACGTTGCAGCAGAGTTGTGCTTTTGTCTCAGTGTCTTGGGTGTGTGTAGCAAGCAGGTAAGATTCCAGAGAAGAGTCCTCTTTTCTTGGATTTTCTGCAATAAGATTGCAGCTCAGGGTGATAATATGAGCATGTGAAAACTGCCCATATGTGGCATTTGTTACATCCTGGTTAGCCAAATTTGGAGAGATCTGTCCAGTAGCTGGGTGATTACAGTCCGAAACAAGAGACCTTGTTTCAGTTTCTTGGCCATCAAGAATGCCCACGGGCACAATCACCAAGGTGTCGGAGCCACTTGTACCCTGCTCTCCTGTGAGTTGTGGCATGTTTCTTCTCTGAGACTCACGTGTGCTGATGTCAGTCCTACTTTGCTCTTTTGGTTCAGGGTCTTTGTGTCCTTGTGTTGGAACTCTTCTGTAATCCAGCCTTGCCTCAAACTCAACAAAAGTCTGCCAGTGAAGCAGGCATCCCAAGGGATGGGATTAAAGGTGTGCACCACTATCCCCAGGAGCCCTTACACTAGCATTTTTTGTTATGACAGGGTGATGATGATTTTCAGGTAGAGAAGTTTTGAGCCAGCCTGCTGAACTGCTCTAGTCAGAGGTTGAGGGACTTCTGTGTACTAAAGCATCCCTCCTGTAAGGTACAGAAACTCACTACTGATCAGGATTTCTGCAGTACTGTAGGGTCTAGACTCCATGGAAACCTGGACACCACTTCATTAGCATTCATCAGTAAAAGTAAGCTTGTGCAACACTGACAGCACATTAACCCCTTCATCTCTTTAGTCTCTTTCTGTTCCTTAGATAATGGCATCTCTTTTTCCTCCCTCCGTGAGTTCCTTTCAGGCAAGGGCTTCTTGTGCTTCACCATCTGACCAGAGTGATGTAGATAGATGAGTTGAAGGTTGAGGCACAGCGGTGGCCCCCTGGATACATCCAAAATGACTGGCACAGTCTCATGTTTGAGTCTAGGACCCCATCGTCCCAGGAAACAGCTAGAGGAAAGGCCCTCCCTAGGCTAATGAGGGCACTGGGCAGTGACTTAAAAGCCTGCTTTGGGTATGGCAGAACAGCAAGAAGAAGTTGAATTTTGGATTCGTAGGTATTGGTTCAATTCCTATTGTTCTAGAAATGAGGAGTAAAAGGAACTCGGCAAACATGAATCGCCCTTGGAGATAGTGTCTTAACTGTTGGGAGTAGAACGAACTGAGATCTGAATTTGTTAATAAAAATGTTTGAGCGTGTCCTGTGGTGGTGACACGCCTTTAATCCCACCACTTGGGAGGCAGAGGCAGGTGAATCTCTGAGTTCAAGGCGAGCCAAAACTTTCACAGAGAAACCTTGTTTCAGAACAAAACGAAAAAAACGTTTGAGAGCTTTCAGTAAACCAGCCACTGTTTTTTTTGTTTGTTTTTTTAAAAATATGTATTTATTTATTTATTATATATACAATATTCTTTCTGCGTGTATGTCTACAGGCCAGAAGAGGGCACCAGACCTCATTACATATGGTTGTGAGCCACCATGTGGTTGCTGGAAATTGAACTCAGGTCTTTTGGAAGAGCAGTCAGTGCTCTTAACCACTGAGCCATCTCTCCAGCCCCCGGCCACTGGTTAGCCCTTCCAGTTTAGCTCATTCCCTGACGGGGGGGGGGGGGGGGGCCACATGACATGGCATGCCAGACGTTTAAGAGCAGCTCCAATGCAATACTGTGCTGGGGTGTGAAGAAAAGTCCCCTGGTGAAGCGAGTTGGCAGTAATAACCGGGAAGTGAGAGGAGTCTCGAATCAGGCTAGACCCGACAAAGCTCTGACCTGAGTCACACACAGGTAGAAGTCAGGAAGGACTACCTCTACTACACTTTTCCGGGGCGCGCGCTTCCTGTCTGCCGGGTCTCCAAGCCTCGGAGCCTCGCCTAGACTAAGGTACAGTGGAAGAGAAGATATCAAGCCCGGAACTTAACGGAGCCGAAACTCGGGCGGCCCGGTTACCTGCGAGCGCACGCGCAGACACTCGCTCCGCCCGCCGCCAGGCATCGCCGCTCCAGCCCGCCCGGGGGCGCTGCGGTACTACAGCGCGGTGCGCGCCGCCCCAGCCGGGCGGAAGCGGCTCTCTGGCCTGCGCTTTATAGGTCTCGCTTGTGCTTCCTGTTTCCTCTTTTACCGGGACCCGTCAACATGGTAGGTGTTTAGCTCCTCGGCCTCTGTCCTTTCCAATCCGCGTCCATCCTCCGCCGGTCGCGGCTCCCAGCCCGCAGCGGGAAGCAGTCTGCCGTACCCGCGCCGTGACCGTCGGCCTGGCGCGCTTCCGCGTAAAGGCGCGGGCTCGCTGGTGACTTTTGCCCTCCACCCGCAGGGCCGCGTCCGCACCAAGACCGTGAAGAAGGCGGCCCGGGTCATTATCGAGAAGTACTACACGCGCCTGGGCAATGACTTCCACACCAACAAGCGCGTGTGCGAGGAGATCGCCATCATCCCCAGCAAGAAACTCCGCAACAAGATAGCCGGGTGAGCGGGGCCGGAGCTGTGCGTTCGCGGTGACGGGTCGGCGTCTGCTGCTAATATTCACCACTGTGGCCATGCTGCACCAGAAGGTGGCAGTGCTGGCGGGGGCGGGGGTGTGAGAAACGAAAAGGGAACAGGAGTGTGTTGGGGTGGCTGTCTGCGCTACGGTTCCTCCTGACTTGTGTACTTGTAGCTATGTCACGCATCTGATGAAGAGGATTCAGAGAGGCCCTGTCAGGGGTATCTCTATCAAACTGCAGGAGGAAGAGCGAGAAAGGAGGGATAATTACGTCCCTGAGGTAAACTTCGCGGGTCTGTCTCGGAACCTCTAGCTCCTGTCCAAGTGGTCATGGAGTTGTGGGTGGGCGGGCTCCTTTGCGGTGTAAACGCAGTGAGAGGTCCTAGCCGGTCCGCTCTGAGGTGTTTTGATACGGGGTCTCATTGTGTAGAACAGAATCACCGCAAATTAATAGAGATCCTCCTGCCTCTGCCTCCTGAGTGCTGGGATTAGAGGCGTGAGCTACCACATCCAGCTAGACTTGTTTGCTGGCTGCGGGTGTCTGTTAGCCTTTCTGCCCCGTCCAAGTTAAGTCAGCTCTTTCCTCATGGGAGCCTGGTGAGCATGTCTCCTGACTCGGACACCCTGAACATACGTCTTCACTGTGAACTCGATCTTAAGGCTTTCTGAACACTCACTAGCCAATTCTGGTAGAAGCATAAAGCAGTCCAGATGCGCCCCTTAAATCCCAGTCCATGGAAGGCAGAGGCTGATAGATCTCTGGGTTCCAGAACAGCCTGTTTCAAAAAAAGAAAAAACAAGGCAGAACTGGCCTTGTTCATCTTGTGGCATCCCAACAAAAGCCTTTAACCCCAGCACTGGAGAGCCATTGGCAGAGAGATCCCTGAGGTCCGCCAGGGTTGGATAGTGAGGCCTGATCTTGAATGGGAGCAGAGGAAGTGAAAAATAACTCATTCATAACTTAGGCTTGATTCTTTACCTTCTAGGTCTCAGCCCTGGATCAGGAGATCATTGAGGTAGATCCAGACACCAAGGAGATGTTGAAGCTTCTGGTGAGTGTTGTGATTTCTAGTTAGGGCCACAAAGTGTCTTTTTGTCGCCTGACTTTAAAATGTTTGTGACTGCTTGTACTGATGAGTGTTGTGATTTCAGGATTGTGGGACATTACTGTCTTCATTTGCATTTTCTTTGTTCTGGGGCTGGCTCCTAAGTTTGTACCCCCACCCCTTCGATTCAGCTCTGGCTCTTTTACCTGCTTTCCTTGGGCACTCCAGAGTCTAACTTGAGGAATGATCTCTGGTCTCATTTTCAGAATAGTCAGGCACTGCTTAAGACAGTTGACAGGTGTCCTTGGTGTGGCTTCTCTTAGCCCTTTTTCATAATGGTGTGATGGTAACGTGGGCTTCAGATCCCAACTGCTGGTAGTGATTCTGTGCAGTCTGAGTTGCTAACAAAATACTCTCCCCATATACCCACACCTGGCTTTCATGAAACCATGCAGCAGCTGAAGCTTGCTGTGGATTCTGCTGGGCTCCTGGGTACTGAGTGTGCTTGGGGCTAGGCCTGATCAGAACTTCACTCTTGGTGCCTTGTACAGCTGGTTGAGTGAATTGTGATACCTCTTGACTGGGACTGGGGAGTGGCTTAGGGACTGCCTCAAATCCCTCTGACCATGGTGTGGCCTGAGCAGTAATGTACTTGCTGCCTTAGAGTTTAATAGAAAATGCTCACAGGCGGTTAAGCCTTAGCTAGAGAATGTTGAATCCTTGGGTGTGGAAACAGGCCTGGGTTTTCAGGTGCTTTGCTAGTAGTTAGAAAATGCCTGCTGAAGCCTGGTGGGTTGGATGAAAGTCATGTTAACAGGGGTGTGTTTAGTCTGGTAGGGGCTGGTGCTAACCACTCACTCGAGTCTTGTTTTGTTGCAGGACTTCGGCAGTCTTTCCAACCTGCAAGTCACTCAGCCTACAGTGGGGATGAATTTCAAAACACCGCGTGGAGCCGTTTGAGTCTGTTCCGTCATTTTCATTCAATAAACCTGAAAATAACTTTGCCTTTGTTGTCCTTGCCACTGTTGGGGTAGGAGGCTGAGTCAGGGGTTCTCAGCACTAACTAGCCTGGCCCCTGACTGGGATGGCGAAGGAGCCTGCAGGAGTAAATGTAGCCTAGAATTTAGGAAGATCCTAGTGTGCCCAGGATGTGGCAGGTAACTGCTTTGCTGTCGGCTCCCCTCAGTCTCTCGGATACCAGTGTGCCTTGCCCATTTGGAGGATAGTGGTGTCACCCAGGGTAAGATAGGTATGCCTGTTGTTTTGTGGATGTTATTTGGTATGGCAGGACATTTCCTGCATGGATACCACAGGGGATGCTGTTTAGCACAGAATTTAGGTTTTTAAATGTTTACTTTAAGACCTAGGATTAATTCAGTGTGAAAACTATTCCCCTTTGTAATCAGTAGCTTTCGAGTGTTTGAAGGTAACCAGTCCCTCATTAACATTTGACATCTGTTGATAATTCCTTTTTTACTAGAGTCTTCCACAGGGGAGGGTTTTTGACCTCAAGTTCACCAGCCATAATTGAGATCCAGTACTTAGGGGAGACAGTTGGATGAGGTTAGCCTGGTCTATATAGGGAGTTCCAGGCTAGCCAGGGCTACAAAATGAGACACTGCCTCAAGACCACACACACACCCCAAAATGGTGAGCTGAGCAGGCAGCTCACCAGCAGAATGCTGGGTATGGAAAGCAAGAAGACCCGAGTTGGGCCACAGGCTAGGCTCCGCACTGGTAATCAAGACCCAAGAGACTGTTGGGGAGACCCTGTCTTTAAAAAGTTGGGAAGCAAGGTACCATACACCTCAAAAACGTGATAGATTGGAGGGGGACAGTGTTGTCGGGAGAGTGTACTACATGTATCCTTGAAGCTGTGGAGTCCACTACCACTACAGGCTTGTGAAGAGATAGTTCAGGGGCTGCTTATAGTAATGAGTATGTGGTCATGTTGCTAGGGCACACTTGGGTGCGAATGAAACACCGGGACCCAAAGCAAGTAGTGAAGGAAAGGGTTTATTTGGCTTATACTTACTAGTTCATCACTGAAGGAAGTCAGGACAGAAACCTGGAGGCAGGAGCTAATGGCAGGCCGCTGCTTCCTGGTTTGCCTCCCTGTCTTGCTCAGCCCACTTCCACCGTAATAAACTGCCCCCCCCCAATAAAATGACCTGCTGCCTGCAACCAGATCTTGGTTATTTTAAATGTTTTATAATTTCTAACAAATCCTAACACCCATATTGCAGCTCACAGCCATCTGTAACTACAGTTCAGGGGATTTGCGGCTTCCACAGGTGGTGCGTAGACACATGAAGACAAAACACCCGAATATTGATCTTTAAAGACGTTGAATCTACCCCTTAATCACTGCCGTATTTTGCCTTTAAAGTAGCTTCATGTGGTAAGCTATGAATCAGTTCCTTGGATATTCTGCTATACTTATTGCTGGGGTTGGTGGGTGGTTGTTTTGACAGGGTCTGTCTCCATTTGTAGCCCTGGCAGCTCTGCTGCTCAGAACCCTATCTGCCTCCCAGGTGCTAGGATTAAAGGCGTATGCCATCACACCTGGCCCGTTTCTAGTTGGTACCCATGTGTGCAGTCTCTAGCTGGCATTAAAGGTATTCTGGACAATGCTGACTAGAGCCGTGGTTCTCAGCCTTCCTAATGCTGCGACCCTTTAGTCTTAGGTTGTGATCCCACCCCTACCCTGAAGGCTTTGAGAGCTGCTGAGCACCAATCAGGACTGAGAATTATTGGGAATACCTCCATAAGATTAGGCTGTAGGCAAGCCTGTAATGCATTTTCCTAATTAGTGATGGATGGGGAGAGCCCAGCCCGTGGTGGGTGGTGCCATCCCTGGGCGGGAGGTCTTGGGTTCTCTAAGAAAGACTGAGCAAGTCAGTAAGCAGCACCCTTCCGTGACCTCTATGTCAGCTCCCGTCTCCAGGTTCCTGCCCTGACTCCTTTGATGGTGAGCTATGATGTGACTGTGTGAGCCAAATAAGCCTTCCTCCCCAAGTTGCTTTGGCCATGGTGTTTCACTGCAGCAATAGGTACCCTAACTAGGACAGTCTGTACCAGGATCATGGGGTGTTGCTGTGACAGACCCGACTCTTTGGGGAGGGGTGTGGAAGGACTGTGGAACTTTGGGCTAGAAAAGCCTTGGAGTGTTGAGCTCAGAAGCTGTTAATGTGGGAGTTCAGAGATAGGAACGTTGGGAGCAAGGCAGATGATGGAAGCCTGGCTTGTGAAGTCTCAAAGGGAAGCAAAGACTACCGGGCCTTTTGCATGAAGGATCTGTGATGTCAGCACGCAGAAACTATTCCAGAAGCAGCCAAGCTTGATAGTCACCGGGTGGCACTGGTTTTGAAGGCTTGGAGGGGTCATGGAGAGCAGCTGAGGCTTGGAACCGTTGACAGGGCTGGATTCCTAGTCCCTGAAGAGAACCCAGGAGGCTATTGGTGCAAGTGCAGCCCACTTGCTGCAAGGGACCATGGGATTACCACCGAGAAGAGCAGCCGCAGTGGAGTGGAGCCAAAGAAGTGACCTCACCCCTTTGGAGGAGCCCAGAAGGTTGTGGAGTGGACCCCAGACATTGGATACTGAGCTACTTACACAGTTGGAGGTTGGTTTTGACTTCATTGATTTGATTGTGGCTGTGTCCTGGTTCTTCCCTCTTGAAGTATTTATTTTTGATTTTATAGGAGCCCACAGTTGACAATTTTAAAGAGACTTTGGATTTTAGAAAATAATTTTCATTTCATGTGCATTGATGTTTTACCTGCATCTATGTCTGTGTAAGGGTGTCAGATCTCTTGGAACTGGAGGTAACAGATAGTTGTGAGCTGCCGCATGGGTTCTGGGAATTGAACCTGGGTCCACTGGCAGAGCAGCCAGTGCTCTTAACCTCCGAGCCGTCTCTCCAGCCCCTACTTTGAATTTTTAAAGAGACTGAATTTTAAAGTGTTTGAATTTGAAATGACTATGGGACTTTTAAGACTTGAACTGTTTTATGTCTTGATGTTCATATTAATGTGTGCTCTTGGAGATGAACAAGAAAGGAACGGTTATGACTTAACAGTGATGTGTTTCTGTCCAAATGCAATCTTATGGAGTCATTTTCTCTACTGAGACTCCCTCCTCTCTGATGACTCTCGCTTGTGTTAATTTTATGTCATATTGGAGTGTAGGCAAGACTGTAGGGCATCTTTTTCTTTCTCTTTCTCTTTTTTTCTTTTTCTTTTTTTTTTTTTTTTTGTTTGTTTGTTTTGGATTTCGAGACAGGGTTTCTCTGTAGCTTTGGAGTCTGTCCTGGAGCTAGCTCTTGTAGACCCGGCTGGCCTTGAACTAACAGAGATCCTCCTGCCTCTGGCTCCAGAGTGCTGGGATTAAAGGCGTTCACCACCACTGCCCAGCTCTTTTCTTTTTCTTTTTCTTTCTTTCTTTCTTTCTTTCTTTCTTTCTTTCTTTCTTTCTTTCTTTCTTTCTTTCTTTCTCTTTTTTCTTTTTTTTTGACAGGTTTTCTCTGAGTAACAGAGCCCTGGCTATCCTGGAATTTGTTTTGTAGACCAGGCTGGCCTCAAAATCACAGAAATCTTCCTGCCTCTGCCTCCCAAGTGTGAGAGCCTACTCTGCCACACGTGGCAAATGTGTTTTCATTCTTAATTTCTCCCCCTCCCCCTACCCTTTTTTTTTTTTTTTTTTTGCCAGGTTTGGCTATTTTTCGAGACAGGGTTTCTTTTGTAGCCCTGGCTGTCCTGAGAGTCACTCTGTCCTCTGTAGATGAGGCTGGCCTCAAACTCAGAGATCCTCCTGCCTCTGCCACTTCCTCCCCACCCCCAGTTGCTGGGATTAAGTACTGAGATTAAAGGCACGTGCCACCACTGACTGTAGGGCATTTTCTTAGTGATCAATGTGGGAGGGCCCAGTCCATTGTGGGTGGTGTCATCCCTGGGCTGCTGGTCCTGGATTCTGTAAGAAAGCAGGCTGAGCCAGCAATGTAACAAGCCAGTAAGCAGCTTCCTCCACGGCCTCTGCATCAGATCCTGCCTCCAGATTCCTGCCCTGTTTGAGATCCTGTCCTGACTGCCTTTCATAGAACCCAGATAAACCATTTCCTCCCCAAATTGCTTTTTGTTTCGTCACAACAATAACCCTAGCTAAGACACGGATTTGACCACCTACAAGGAACAAATGGATAAAGAGCTGTAGAGATGGTTAAAACTAGACAGCCTGCCTCTGTAGAATTTCAACACAAGTGCTGTCTTGACTGGTGATATTTGCATCATAGACTGTGTGTGTGTGTGTGTGTGTGTGTACGTGTACGTGTACGTGTACCTGCATGTATGCACATGCACCATGTGTATGTGTGTCTGGGACCCACAGAGGCCAGAAAAGAGTCCCCTAGAACTGGAAGTTCTATATAGGCAGTTGTGGTTATGAGTCACCATGTGGGTACCAGGAATTGAGCCGGGGTCCTCTCCAACAGCAGCCTGTGTTCTTAACCACTGAGCCATCTCTCCAGTTCCTAGATGTGATAGAACCTTGTGTATGTATAAACTTAGGTGGCTTGAAGTGTTATCCTGCAGGAAATGCATTGCCAAATCCCGTTCTGTCTTAGTAGGGGCCATCAGGAAGCCTGGTAATCACAGCTTTCCAGTGGGGCAGGGCATCAACCCAGTGCAATGGGATAGCCTGTGCTTCTTTGCTTCTTGCCTAGCTCCTCGGTGCTCCATGGTCTAGGTGGGACTCTTGTTTGTTGCTTCTCTGCCTGGGAGGGGCAGTCAGTTGATCTTCTTGCCCTGGCACTGCCAAGCGCAGTTACCCTTGCTGAGGGCTGCTGTCCCTTCTGAAGCTTCCACCTGGACCTTTCTGCTTGAGGCAGCTGGCACCATACTGTTCCTCTTTCACAGGTTCGCATCACAGCCATGACATCTGCATTTTAGACCCCTCCTGTATCTTATGATCCTGCTACACCCATTTCTTAAGGTTAACTTCAGACTTA